AAAAGAACTTCTGGATGAAAAGCAAGGGGGAGGTAGAGACAGACAAATAAACTTGATTTTACTGACAATTTTCAGCAAGGATGAACTCTGTCTTTATAGCAGTGGTGTTATTAAAGATGAAAATTAGGTTAGTGGCCTATCTATTTGAGTGTCACCTGTTATTCTTTTTATATATTTTAGAACCAAGGCTAAAACATAAAGTTTCTTTGAACCAAAGACACTGATTTAACCCCCCTGTGGCCTTACACAGGAGTTTCTATTGCAGACGCCAGGTAGCCCTGACAGTGCACCACCTCCTGGCACAGTCAGCTTAGCCTAAGGCCTAGGAATACACCTCTACTGACTATGGGATCCTTTTATGATGTGAAGGAAAAAAATCTCACAACACTTCAGGTGACATTACACAAAGTTCATCTCTGTTTATGAATTATTTTTCAACTAGCCCTCCTCACTGGCTCAAATACGATACGCAGAAGACTCCCTTTGTTCTACCTTACTCAGTGGTGCTTCCTGCACAAAATCCTAAACCTAAATGCAATACTGCTTACTGTGCAAATCATGCACTGGAAGCTGAAGGTCCAACAAAATGGAGATTTCAGAATCAGTATCAGATAAGGTATTCTCATTTGTCTTCAGACCATTGCAATTCCTTCCAAAACCCACGATTTAATAAAGATTGGTTGTCTCCATTCATAGCCCAACTCCACAACCCCCTGTGCTTGGCACAAGTGGGGGACTTGTGAAGCTGCAAAGTGTTGGCAAGTCTGAGTAGCCAGAGCGGGATGTCTGTTCAACTGGTTTGGTCCCTGCAGCCCACGTATCGTCAAGCCCCAGCCTGGGCAGCCTATTCACTTTCTGCAGTTCCCCTCTAACTAACTGTATGTACCTGTCTGTCTGCAGAGCCAAATATAGCTCCTTCTGAAAGAACAGAAAGGAATCCCTGCTGAGCGTAATGGAAGACAAGGTTTCCATGTGTCTGCCTGGTGCTGCGGAGTCCTGTGACAAAGGTGGCTTGAGGCTGTGTGTTCATTTTCCAGCTCATACACATTGATAACTTGACCTCCGCACTTAGAAGATACATGCAATGTTTCGTTGCTTACCTCAGCTTCTACAGGCCCCATATCTTAAAACCCCATGTATGTCACCGCGGACTTTCCAAGCAGCTGACAGACAAAATGCTTCTGACAGCCATTCTGGCTAGGGTAACACTTAAATATGAGGAGGAAACACAATGCTGCTCACTCCCTCAAGTGCAAGCTAATTTTAAAGTTAATGCTGTAAGCCCATGGAGATGGGATGCTTTAATGACCATCAGCCTGCCCAAAACCAGCGCTCCTAACCCTATGGGTAGTGCTGACGTGACTGACAGCTGAGAGCTCTTCTAAACACCAAGCAGAGCACTGCAGTCACTAGCAACTCAAACTGCTTAAAATGGTGTGATTTTTATCACTTTGACAATACTTATGACAATTCTCTTTAAGCATAAAGGGATTTTTAAAATTTGCTAAGATTTATAAAATGAGCCTGCCTAAAAGTTTGATGGGTGTATGTAAACTGATCTTTGAAATCACATCCAAAGAACAGCCTGATTGTGCCTTATATCAACATTAAAAAAGGTCTCTCAACTCACAGATATGACTTGGGATCTCCTTCCCTCGGTTTACAGAGCCTCACACTCAGCTCACTCTCCCACTTCCCTTTTTCCCCAAAGTCTGGGAAACAGATAGGGCTTTCCCCCCAAACATAACAATTTTTGACTTTCTCTGAGGAAGGGAGAGAAATGAATGTGATAACCGTTGAGACAAGGAGTGTGAGAGATTCGATGTGTGAGCTGATCAAGCTAATTTGTCTGTTGAGAAAGAGACCAACCCCCCTAAAGTCCCTCAAAGATCCAAAAACATCTCTTAGATTATGCCTGAGAACAACTTGGAAGTTGCTGCCATCCAGGGAGCGCTAACACATTAAATGCCATGGCAGAAAATATACTACACAAGCAAGAAGTTGCTTTGTACATGAGCTGAAGTTTTTAAACCATCCCCCACAGAGATAATCATAGTAAGATCCATAATGAGAAAGATCTTGTTACAATTCCTCACCAAACACTAATGTAAACAACACCACGCTTCTATATTCAGAAAGCATCTACATCCCTGACAAGTCTTCGGAGTTTTGAAGACCAGAGAAACGAAAGCTAGACAAATGCAAGCAAGTCTTAATTTCCAGATACGGGTATTTTAACAAGTGAAGGGTGAATTAGGATTTTTTCCTGGTACATAAAGTATGAGGTACCAGAATACCTAATCTCTAATTTATGGCTGATTCAGCTCCTGCTAAAATAAGAGATGCTGGCGGATCTAAATAGGAGGCTAGGACATTTCAAGAAACCCCAGAGCTATTGCCAGGTCTGACTGGCTATGATACACAAAGATGCTTCTTCAGGCAGGAGCAACGAGCGTGGTGGCACCCGACACGAACCATGGTCCTGCTCAAACATCCCCTTTTTAGCAGGGATCTGCACAGCCTCCCCTGTGCTACTGACTTTCTGTATGCTGCCAGCGTAGGTGCACCTACTGCTGGTGCAACAGATGTTAAAGCAGGAAAACCTGACTCCCAGCGCGGAGGGATTAATGGGGCATTAACATTAAGGCCCCAGTTGTGGCCATTTAAATGCTAACAGCCCTAAGTAAGTTAGCCAAAACACAAGCTTGCAGTGCGAGCCACTAGAACTTAATTATAGAACATTTGGGGCCAAAACTTGCCCCAGGATATGCATGAAGTCATCCTGATGATGCTAATGGAAACCCATGTGCTATATATTAGAAAAGCAACTGGTTCTAAAAAGGGGCTATTTTAAAGCGGAACATAACAGGTTAGTTTTTGCTGAACAGTCCTTTTACTATTTACATTTACAAAAATAAATCATGTCACAGATGCCCCGACTCATCAGCTGGACTCTGATTTACATTCTTCGCTAATATTCCTGCAAAAATCAGCTAAAGAAAAGCTTGGTTTTGAAGCCTAGCATGTTGAATTAATGTTCTGTTAAATCTGGCAGATTTTGTCCATGGTTCTCTATTGACCCTTGTTGTAATTCTCCTTTTGACGCTCTTCTGATGCACCTTTTCCCATCCAAAGTGCTTTTCATGGTCCAGAGATGCCTTTTTTTTTTTTTGACTGAGCAGAGTGTATTTTCACCTCCTTTTCACCTCCCAGAGCAGTATTTCAGGGCCCATCATGAGGTATACCATTAAACCTAAAGCACACACGTGGCTCCCCTCGCATTGCTGCTAACAGGCCTGTTAGATTTCAAAGCTGCTGGGCAGCAGCAGGTAAATGCAGCTTTTGTTTTAGCAGCTCAGTTACAGCTAAGTGAGCATCTGCCCTGGCTGTACACAATCAACCTTCTATTTCAGAGGGGTGTAATTGTCAGTACATTTGCTGCCCTTTGAAACTTGGTGTGCGAGGCTTCAGCCTGAGGCCCCGCTGCAGCCTTTAGGACATTAAAAGCCCCATCCTTCGCTGCTTGCTACCATATGCCATTATTTATATCCATGTAAAACGAGAGGGGAATACCTCACTACCTAAAGCTCCCAATGATCTGTTTCGCAAGGGATTCATTAACTATGAAAGAGGCAAAGCTGGAGAAAATCAGTGTTGTTACATGGTTCTGTTACTTTCTATACACAAAATACCGAGCAAAACCCTGCTGTCGCTTTACAGATTTTCCCATTCCTGTGGACAGGATGGGGGCTCTAGAGAAGTGTGCAATCAGACTTTGGTTTTCAGCTCTAATGCATCTTTTTGCAAAGTGGGAGCTCAGCTGGCTTCATCTGCCACTTCTCTTTTAAGAATGTCACCTGTGGAAGTTATGGGACCGTTCAGTCACATCCAGCCTCTGGCTCCCCCAGAAGACTTTTTATCACCTCTTCTTCAGGGAACGCATTTGTACTTCTGTTTTATGTCTCCATGAATGGCCCAGGTGCAACTTTGGAAGCAAAACTGGGGTGAAATTCAAGATAGTAAAAGTTCCCTGCCTTTGTTGTGGACTGCCTTGTGGCCAAACAGTTTTCCACTTTAAAACCTAGATGCAATCTGTGGCTTGCATTCATTCCTTGGTCTTCAGAACATCCCTTTAGGAACAGGCAGCAGAGTTATATGGTTTACAGAGAAACAAGGAGAAAGTAAAATAATAAACGTCCATTAATTGCAGACACCCAACCTGAAATACTTGTAACTAGATTTTGGAGGTCTTTGCTTCGCTGCTTGTGTGTTCAGAATAGTTTCCACAAAGAAGGCTGAAAAGTAATCAGCACTGAACCAAAATCTAAGAATGGACAATTTCAAGCTACTTTACCTACGTGAAGTTATTTATAGCATGTAGGCAACACATACCTGCGTTTGAGAAAAAATATCCAGCCTCTCAGTGCACACTGACATTGCATAGCATATGCATTAGTGTTTAATGAAGTGTTTGGGGTCCATGCTAACTTTGATTTGTAGGGCTTTAAGTCATGCAGCTCCTGCGATGCTACTGTATGCTGCTATGAATACAGAGAAGAATTTTTAAGACCAGCTGAGTGCGTTACACTCACAACTCTCTTTATTTCAAGGTAAATTGTGAGTTTAATCTCTTCCAAAGGTTTCAAGGATCCTATCCACCTCTTCTGGGCAGATATTCTCAGGAAAGGATGCACTGTAAACTGCGTCCTCCCTTTCCATTGTATCCATTTGCCACTCTTTCTGCCTATTCCTTCATCTGCTTTTCCTTTTTTTGTCTCTATTTATTTCCAGTCTTTCCCTTATCCTTCCACTTGTTTGCAGCTTTCAGATACATATTTTGTAATACTCTCTAATGCACACTTTTTTTTTTCTTCTGCTGTTCCTACTCGCCACTCCTGGCACTGTCAATGTCATATGCCACCACAGTATCTGGGCTGTAATTTGTGTGTTTACCTTTACCTTGCATTTATTATGATAAACTCTCTGTCTCCCGCCCTCACCTTTCGTTAACTCTGATTTCCTATCCTCTTCAGTTCATACCACTCCAGAAAAGGCAGGAGGGGGAATTAAGTGCTTGTGGAGGCAGTGCTGGCTGTCACTGATTGATTGACAACAAGCACGGTGCCTGCAAGTGCCGAGATGCTGCAGTTTGTAGAGTGAAGGGAGACCTCGGTGCCCGCTACGCCCTCCTTGATTGGAGAGACGTTTTGAGTGTGACTGCCGATCATTGTTAGCCCAGTGACTCCCTGCATTCTCCTCACTTCCTTCTCCCAAGCTGTCAGACTGGCAAGGCTCAGGAGAAATCACAGGTTTCCTAATTGCATTTGTGCCTGCACAGAGAGAAAAAAAAAAAAACAAACTTAAATACAGGCTGGTCAGATCTGTACTGATGATGGAGAATGTTGCGCTCCATTCTGTGCTAGTGCGGGCTCTTCAATTTGTGCCTGGCAGCTTCCTTGTTCCCGAGGACAGAAAGATAAACTGTGGCTTTGTATAGATGGGGAAGATGACAAAGAGAAAGGAGAGAAAAGGAAATTCATTACATTTATCAGCACAAACACTTTCTCAAACGATTCCTGCAATTTCATGTACCAAGTCCCCTCCATGGGTGTCTCTCTCCTGGATGGCTGCATCCTGGATTCGTGGAAAGAGCTTGTGCCTTTATCCACACAGCATGATTGAAGACCTTTCATGGTGCTGGTCTGTCTGTTCGGACTCTTCTGACTACTCGGTGCTCAGATGCAAGGCACCACGTACCACTTCCAATGACATTTCCTCAGTTAATAATGCCTCTGCTACTCCCTCCCCCGTTACAGTGAGAGGCTGAGAGGGGCTTTGGCTATTTCAGCAGCGAGTTGTGCTTTGGCAGCCAGGTGAGCCAGACAGGAACGCACAGCAGCAGCCAGGCTGGACTCAGAATCTGACTCAGAAGTGTTGAAGTTTTCCTATGATCGCATAGGACAGATCGTTCTTTTAACAGGCCATTTTTCTAGTCTAACCAAACACAAGGGTTGACTAAGTCAAGGTGGCCCAGAAGCTCTTGGGAATCCCGGCGTGTTTAATGATCTGAGAGAAAGCAGAAGCCACGGGCAGTCAATCTCCCGGGTTATGGGTGGCTCTGTGGGTAGCCTTCGTTTATGCAGCTCATTGGTCACGATTACTGAAATAACAACAAATTGCTTTCTTCTTTTTTATCGCAAAGTCTCCTGGGAAGCTTATTTTGCATACAGTGACTCAGAATGCTGCCTGCTAAGCTGCACGTACTGTATGTCTGTCTGGAACAAGTCAGGGTAATTTGTCCTCTTGTTTACAGCAGCCTATTTATAATGGTACAGAGTTGACCCAGGGATACACGAAGTCCCCTCTCTCAACTCTCAGAAAGGGGCTTTTCACCCTCATCACAAAGCCCAGAAAGCTACAGCTCCCTCAACACCGCCTTCCAGTGAAGATGATCACCAAGGGCAACAGGGATCAGAGTGGCTCGGAGCAGGCTTTGATGAAATAGATCGACAAGAACATTTGTTGTGTCATGAACACAGTGAGACCCCCCTGCCCCAAGATGATGTGAGGCCCAAAGAACGGAGGACAAGTATCCTTGCATATGTAAGGATGGTAGTATCCACTCTCACTGTTTTCCCCAGAAATAAGTTGTTTGCAGAGGGTAGTGTCCTCAGAGAGACTGCTTTCAAAGCTCAAAACTGCTAGAATGAAATCTATAAAGCCACAACCTTTCTCTGTCAGCCAATTTCATCTCTTAATAATATCTGTTTCAGAAACCACCGTATGTCACATATGTGGAAGGGATATGCATGTAATAAATCATACATGTGCACTCTAAATTAATTTTTCACAGGAGTAATTTTAAGCGTCCTACATTAGCATCTCCTGCTGGCTAACCTTTCCCCCCAAGAATTAGATTAACTCCAAACAACCGCTTCTTCCCATATGATGAAACAAGTTATTTTTTTTTTTGCCGTTACAGATATAGCATTCCTCCTTAAACCTGCAGCCTAAGCCTAAAGTCCAGTCTTTATTCAAAATGTTGTCTTTATATTTGTGTGCAATTTCTATCTCACCTTAGAAGAAATGGAATGTCTCTGCTGTGGAAAAGACAGCAGGTTTCATAATCAGATGTGTCATGCTTATTTTTGACCCTGTTGTAAGATCAAAACTAGTGATTATATGAATAGATTTCACATGTTTCTTATATAAATATCTACATATATGTCTGCACACACACATGCACAAAACCCTCCAATAATACATATTCATGCATGCATATGCATAAACGACTAATTAATCTTATTTTTTCATGTATATATAATTACTGACTTGAGTATATATTTATACTTACATGCATACACTCACATACACAGCTTGTAAGCATTTTACTCTCATTAAATGCTTTCTTCCCGAGCTTTGTGCTGTCTCTTTTGTGGTATCTGAAGTATCTGGCTGAAGATGAAGGGATAAGATGAATTACCCCTGTACTTAAGAAAAGAGACCCAATATGCCTAAAGCTTACCTAAAATATTTTTCTGTAATCTATGTATCATTAAAGAATACAAAAAACTTTTCCCTCCATCCTCTTTTATTTGCAATGAGCAACACCATTTGGAAATGGAGATTACAAATCTCCCAAACTCATGTTAATAACACTATGTACCACATCAGGAATACCATTTCTACTATAGCATTCTTCATAAGACAAGCTGAAGCAGACACTGACTCTTCTGCCTTTGCTCGCAAGCCTCTCCTCCACAGTGCAATTTCTAGTATCTCAAGCTCCTTAATGCTTACAAAGAAAACAGCCTTTTTTCCTGCTCCCAAATTCATTTTTCTTCTCTTTTCCTTTTAAGATTTTAACAATTGCATAGATTTTTTTTTTTTAATTTCACCGCGTATCTGACTGTAAATTAAAGTGGTCCAAAGCCCTCGAAAAGAAATTCTCATCCCTGAAACAATAACAAATACAAGGTGTGAATTTTGCTATGACAGTAAGAGTTTCTCTGTCTACAAGACAATCCTTTCATTTTCAAAGAGGATACACGGCAACAGGGTTAGAAGCTCGTGCAGTCCTGAGAGATCAGCAACACTATATATAGCAACACTATATACAGAAAAGCCCTAGATGTAATTTTCAAATTATTCTAAAATATGTTTACAGTTATTCCCTATCTCTAAGGTTGGTCATGAAGGACCAGTAGAGTTGATTGAACAGATGAGTCAGAATGGAAAAATGTAACCCCTTTTTATTTATGTTACCCAGGTTTTATTTATTTTTTAATTATATTGTTATTCATTTGTGTGTGCTGAGCAGCTAGGATAATTGGTTTATATCCCTTTGGTGATATATGAAGGATTCATTTTTTTTACCATCATATTTATGCTGTGTGTCTGGTCATCTAAGACATATGCTTCCTGTTTTTAACTGGATGACAAACTTTTCAAACAGGAGGATAGATTCCAAATGATGCATTAGCATTCATAATCATAAAAGTCTTCACCTGCACATTTCTGAAATATTCATTAGGAGAGAATTATGGCAGAATAAAGCAGAATCTGAACAAATATGCACAGACACCATTTTGTGATGTTTTGCCAGGCCAGAGATTAAAGACATTTTAGAGACAGAAGAAGAGTACAAACAATTGAAATGGGGAACTGTAACATTTTTGTAAGTGGTTTTACTTTACCACAACTTTCATATTATGAATTAGACAGTGATATAAAATGTGATAAAATCATATGGAAAGTTTTACGTTACTAACTTATCATAGACTTCTCTACTGTCCAGGAAAGTGACTCTTCCAAACTTGTGCCTTTAAAAATGTTATTATGTCAGGTGTCAAATATTGCCCAGTCACATTACACCACTAAGAAGAGAAACCTTCCTATTATTAATCATTTTAGCCTGTGGTTGTATTTTGTTGTTTCCTGGCAATCCCACTTCAGGCCCTTGAGCTTTCTCCATCCAGAAGGAGTGGGAAAGAAGTGGAGGTAACAAATCTGGTTATTGGTTGAGAGCCACACACAGCTTTCCTTTCCCAGAGAACAGATTTCTGCATTAGTACGTGATGGTGGTGGCAGCAGAAGAGTCTAATTTGGATTGCAGCGACTTTAAACGTTTATTCCTTGGTCTTCTAAAAAAGAAGCCTTTGAGCTCATTTGCATTATAGTCTCTCACCACACCAAGAATATGGCTGGCAGAGAGCTGCTTTCCCCCAAGGCAGCTCCGTTTTCACCCTAGCAGACCTGGCCACGACACCCAAGAGCGGCGCAGGAGGGGAATGCTGTGTGGGGCCGGGGCTGGAGGGGCGAGCGGCGCCAGCTCTTCCCCTAGTACCACGGACAGAGCAGGCAGCCCTGGGCTTCCGCTGACAAGAGCGAAATGAGGCCAGCAAAAAGCAGGAACTTCTTTCTTCTTAGCTACACACGATGATGAGACTAATTTTTGCACCCACTAACCTGTTGACTGGCATTCTCGACAGTTGCTTGTCTTAATCACTGTAACTTGGAGGGAAAATAAAGGAGAAAAAAAGGATAAGATAAACTCCAAAAGCTGTCAACAATGATTTCTTCTGATTATGAGAGCTGCTGAGATCATATACCACTGACATCAGTAGAAACCTGTGCGTAGCTCAGTATCCATCAGATTCCAACACCCAAAGATGTGATTAATGTATTCTGATATGAGTCACAAAACTAACTCCTTTGCACAATGCTTTGAAAATTATACTTAAGACTGGGAGGAGAGCTGGACCTCACCATTCATCTTATCATCATCCTCTTACGAGGGAAAAGCATTTTGTACAACCAGTTCTATACTCTACTGCTTTCATATTAGGTCTCACTCCAAAGGTCTGCATTCCCAACATTTCTTTCTTTCCTGGATACTTATGTGGGATCATGTAGCTGTAGCATAAGCTCATCTCAAAACCTTTAATATGTTTTGTCTCATAAAATCCTTGTAGATCACTAAGTGCTAGCATTCCATTATACAGAGTGAGAACCTAAGGCTTGTAGAAGTTAAGTTACTTGCCTAAGAGTCACTTTTAATATGAAGAAATCTGAAAATCAGACTTTGGAATTCCAACTCGGTGATGATTTAACAATTGCAATAGTTATGGCTTTCCACTTCAGGATTAAAGACCCTCAAGACCCTTTTCTCCTTTCGTCCTATGTCATTAAATCAGAGCTTGCAGCTTTGTCGTTTCTTATTGTAGCTGGTATTGGCAGAGGCTGTAGTGCTTAAAGTCCCAAGAGCCAGGAACCACCCCCACAGGACTTTTAACTTTTGACCCTACCTTCTTCCTTTGCTTCGCTGAAT